AGTTTAAGAAGTCGTGGAGTGGATGATGCTTTCTGATTTCATCTCAGTTCTGAGTTTCAGTCTCCAAACTCATTGTAGAGTGACTTAGCTTGATTTATCTATTTCATTAGTGAAAAATTCTGTTGAATCAGCATCCAATCGGTCGAAAGATGAATGGTAAATTGTCGAAGCAGTCTCCATCCATTTGAATGGACGCGATGTAGCGGTTACCTCGTTTAAAATGACTAAGATCTTGCACGTATAAAACACGCATTCTTTCTTCTGTTCGACAATTTACCATTCATCTTTCGACCGATTGGATGCTGATTCAACAGAATTTTTCACTAATGAAATAGATAAATCAAGCTAAGTCACTCTACAATGAGTTGGGAGACTGAAACTCAGAACTGAGATGAAATCAGAAAGCATCATCCACTCCACGACTTCTTAAACTAAAAACGTTCACCTTAAAATTCAACCTTTTCATCACGCTCAGTTAAGATTCTGTTTGTTACATACTAATGTAAAGCTTTTGGTTTGAAAAGTCGTGTAGAGGGCGATGCTATCTGATTTCACCTCATTCCTCGAAGGAACTTTAAAAAAGATTAAACGTTTCGGGCCTGGAAATGGGTATTTCTATCGAGAAGAGAGATTAAAGGTGGACCATACTACCTTTACTTATCGCTTTTCGATCTTGTGATAGCTCCTTCTGACATTTTTATTCAGTCTTAACTAGATGTGCTACAGCGTAACTATTTCCAGGCTAGAGATGGTTATTTTGTTTTATGTCTTTATTCATTCTCAACCGAACAAGGTCAGCGGAGAGATGGTTAATCACCTCTTCGGATACACGTCCCACTGTTAAAATAACGAAAATCCCACGTTTCGACCACTGCGAGCTCCTCTTGATATATCTCATGGCCAAGTTCTTATTCACAGGTATTACACGTAATACCTATAAGTTTTGAGTTTCAGTCTCCCAAGTCATTCTAGAATGAGTTAGACTAATTTCTCTACTTTATCAGTGAAAAATTCTGTTGAGTCAACATCTAATCTGTCGAAAGGTGAATTGTAAATTGTCGAAACAGTCTCCATTCCATTGGAATGGGAACGCTTTATACGCGAACTATTTCAAGCCTGGTTTCGTTCCAAGTACGTTCAGAAAGAAATGAAGTTATACGATGGTCAGTGGACTGATGGCATGGACTGCATCACTTTCTTGATTTTGTTTTCCAATGCACTTTCCTTCACTATGGTATGGGATGTTAAAGTCGTTACGACTTAACGATTCACTATGCAATATTTGCGTATTGTCAGTGAGAATACACCAAGCCCAACAGGCCCAGCAGATTTTATAGAAATTTATATATTTGCGTATTCTGGTATATTCTCGTGTATTGTCAGTGAGAATACACCAAGTCCAGCAAGCCCAGCACATTTCAAGGTTTCCACCAGAGTTGCGCCGTCTTTTTTATCCTAAATTCTGGCGTATGTTTCTAAGTGGCTCACTATCACCTACCCAATGCAAAAGAAGTTAAATTCTGGTGCCTATTTTACTAAGTTCTGATGGATTATAGACGAAACGTCAGAGTTTAGAATACTAAATTCTGGTGTATGTCACTGAATTCTGCTATGCCTTGTTTAATTCTGACAAAGATATACTCCAGTAAGAAAATTTTCCATTCAGAACAATTTAGCATCCTATACACTCATTTTTTATTTTTCTGATGGGAATAGATCTTCGTCAGAGTTAAATAAGGCATAGCAGAATTCACTGACATACACCAGAATTTAAGATTCTAAACTCTGGTGTTTCATTCATCAGAACTTCAACTTGCCAGTAAAATAGGCATCACAATTCTTCCTTCAAAACTTCTTTTTGCATCACGTAGGTGAGGGTGAGCCACTTAGAAACATTCGCGAGAGTTAGGATCAAATTTTATCTTTCTATTCTTTCATTTTAGGCGCGCCGTCGCGACAGTATGGACTCTTGTGACGACTCTCTTTCACACCACGACTCCAGAGAGTCATCCTACGACTTACCAAGACTCACGTCATGACAGTAAGAATGTTAGTCAGCAAGATCCCGTCGGGCACATAACGACTACTGACTGTTTTTTGTTGTGTATAAGGAGAAAATCGTGATCCCGAATATACACTCTTATTTAGAGATTCTTACCGCGATCTCGAGACACGATCCTGCCGCGACTTTTCATCACGACTTCAGCGAGAAAGTTGACTTGGGTGGCCTGATTAGAAAGAAAGCAAAGTTAGTAGAAAGACTTGACCGACTAACACTTTTGGAAGCTAAACAGTCTGAAAAGCTGAATGCGGTAGATAGAAAAAAGATGACCTCTTTAACATTCAATAAACATCTTAGATCAATTAAATCAATTTTCCGTCAGTTCTGTCTAATAGCAAAACAGATTGATCCAAATATGCATTTACGTTTAAATGTCTTCCGAATCTACGTCGCACTCTAATTCATCCTACAGGCTGATTCCTAAAGCCGATAATCTCTCAGCAGGTTATAACAGGTGCTCTAGAAAATTTTGCTAATTCTGCAGTTTGAGCAGTAAATACATTTAGCTTTAAAACCCTACTTGGGATAGAAATATGTAAGTAAAACAAGAACATCCACAAATTAGAGTAATTCATGCTACAACTATCAGCAGACATTTCAGTGAAGATAGACACTTTATTAAAGATATTTTTATTACTCCATTCGAAGGCGACTGCCTGAACGAAGATCATCAACGCGCCAGAGAATCGGATTGGATTACCCTTATTAACCCCTCTTTGAACATTAAAAAATAGATCTTGTAATTATGGACTACTACGGCACTATTTGATGTATTCGTCTTAACATCCGGGCCGGTGCACCACCGTTGTGATCACTTTGCACAGGTCTTTCGTAATAAAAATGTATCAACAGTCCTTTTGTTATATATTGAGGAGAAAGACATATCCGTCACAGTTCTCCATAAATATGTTAGAACACTAGAAATCTTGCGGTAATATGTGATCGTTAACGTTCAACCATCTTTTTGATGACGATGTGATCTACTGAACAGCTGTAATGAGAGCTGACTATGTCATCAGCAAACGAATTTGAAAAGAAACGAATAACTGTAGACTGTAACACGGGGTAAAAAACATTGGATTTGGGAGAATACCTGTCCAGACTAGGATTTATTCAATAAATTAGGCCATTTTACAAATTAATTCAAATTCCGATATCATATATTTTCACATCTTCAGAACAATTCACCATTCACACATTCATAACTTTTACGACACATCGATTTATAATAACATCATCAAGTTTTCCAGTCCAATTACAGGGCAATGAACTGGGTAGCTACTAACACTATCATGCACTGCGCTACACTTACTTCTGAATCATTGCGCAAATTTAACGTCGATTGTAACTAATTAAAACAATTAAAAGGAACATTTCTCTAGCTGCAACGTCCCGTGATGCACCCGATCAACAGCATATTGTATCTGGATTCTTCGCCATCGAATCCTTTACGTTGGGTAAGTGCAAAGCGTATTTGACATTAACGACATACATTATCGAACCTTCATTTTTTCTATTCAACTGATGGCTCTACATATTTTTCAAAATGCGAACAAAACGTAGTAATGTATAGTACATAAAAAAAAAGATCAAAGGCATTACAAAAGTACATTTCCACTAAAATAGTAACAGATTGATGCTCTTCATCCTTGAAAAAAATAAGAATACATAACTTTAAACAATAACATTCGTAATTACATCAATGCCTCTGCTCTAACCAAAAAACGAGAATAAATACAGCAAATTCATAGAAACACATGAATAACAGCAAAAAAATATGAAAAAAGAAAGCAGAACTCAAAACATATTACCAAAGTACATTTTCAACATAACAATGCCAGATCGATGTCCTCTATGCAACTACATTAACGGTAAAAAAATAAATAAAACCAAGTAAAAAAACTCAACCCCGCGTCACTATCATAGCTTCAACACACTGGACAAGTCCACTGCATATCAAACTTACAAACACACCAACAAAAAAGCATCCATGAATATAGCATTAATCATCACCCTTCTCCTCAGCTTCACAATTCTACCGTCAACCACCGCAACAACAAGCAGCAACACACAACCGAAAGGTAAGAACTATTATTCTACACCATAACCCCACCACAGTGACCTCGCACTAATCAAACATTCATAAATAACCCCAAGACTACAATTTCACAGCACCGGCCAATACAACACCCGCACCACAGAAAGTAGCAACACCAGCTGCGTCAAACCAAGTTCAAATTCAACATACATGCACAGATGATAAGACAGATTCAAAGAGTGTCGTTTCAACGCTCGTTGTATCTCATGACCAAACAAAAGATCTTACTACGAATGATGTAAAAACGACGCTATCATCGACAATCAAAGATAAATGTCAAGACGATTTGAGTACACAAGGACACAATGCAAATACAATTCAATCGGTTGATGTAACAAAAGTCACTAAATTAAATGATACTCATTCAAGTATCGACGTAAAAACAACCTGTCAATCGGAGAAAGATAAAGAAACAGTAAAAGACACGTTGAACACCGTTGTTCAACATGATGATGTAAGTAGCAGATTTCTTATCGATTGATTTTCTTTCTACTTGTCCATAGTTAATATTTCTTTAAAAGAAATAATGCCAAAAGTACAAAATGTTAGATCGGATAAACTGGCTATAATAACTATAGCCATGTTGTTTATCTTTATATTATGAATAGAAATGAAAAGAGTTAACATAGTGTTAGAAAAGAAATTTTGTTTATGCTCTATTCCTTCTCATTTGTTAAGGTAAAACAAGTGCTGGCTTTTCGGGTCGTGTGTTCAAAAGTTGGGAGGAGGGTGGCCGTTTCCGAAGAGGTTGTAATCCGGTTTAGATGGGGGTGGAGATTGGCACATTGATTTGTTTGTTGAAACATGTAAAATTGGCGGGTTCTGACTGTATTTTCTGCGTGTTTTGGTTGTGTTCGCTCTAGTTTTTTGTAGTTTCTTTTATTCTGTAGGTTTGGTTTCTGATTCTGCAGTTTAATTTTTGTGTAAGGTGTGTTTAATAAACGGTAAATTGTTGAGGGTGTGTTAGTGTATGGCTTTTGCTGGTATATTTCTTGTAGGTTGATTGGTGGAAGGGTATGTATACATGATGGAAGGAATGTGTAGAGGGTTGCTATTTTGTTATGGAAGATTTTGTCTTCGGCGGCTCGATTTGCGGAGTACATTTAGCTAACACGGGAGCGCAGAACGGTAGGTTAGGGTAAAAGGGTGTCTAATGCGCAGTGGGAGTAAAGTGAAGGTGGTAGTGATATGGGTCTGGAGGTTTCGTGCTGTCGGAAGTGCAAAAGTTGTTTGAGTTTTGACTTGATATTTTGGTGAAGAAAATTTATTTTTCGTCATATTGGTTTTCGTTCGAGTTGTTTTTAGAGTTTTTGGTTTTTCCGGACGTCCTTGAAAACAAGCACAAATGTTCAGCTATATCGTGTGTATCTACTAGGCACGCAGAGTTGTACGTTAATGTATTGGAGCATTGAAAACATAGAGACATGTTGGTAAAGGATATTGAAAGTGTAACTCACACACAAGTTAAATAAGCTTTAAACAACCTGATAAAAACATTGGAATTAAATGTCAGGTTTAGCATTGGAAATAAATAAACAGAGTAACTAATACCCGCTAATGTACCATAACTGGTTAGCATAAAACCAAGATCTGTGAATAAAGTCAGCGATATATTCTAGGCCAGACTTATTTGAAGGTCACAACCGAGAATCTTTTATACATATTTCTTATCAACAACGTAACTATGACATTTATTAAGAAATTGGTACAAAACATTCAAAGTCAAACGTCTACCGTATCTTGTTCCTCTGAGAGCATGTACAAGTGTAAATGGCATTCCGATTTGAAAAACACTTATATTTTTACGAAATTTTTGAAAATTCTATCGTTTCCAAATCTCTGTCTGTTTCTGTACTGACGCTCTTATTAGAATCCAGTAATTGTCACTCTGTTAATTATCCACTCAACTATATATTGTCGCATGCTGGCTCACTCTGATGATGTGCGTCGTCTCTTCCATCCGCTCAAATCATATAAACACTCTCAGCACCCTGAGGAACAAGCAGATCTTAGAATTGTAGCGATTTGTAAAACCTATCTTTTTTTCAAATTAAAGCGACTTAAACACGCGAAAGATTTCTGTTATTAAAACTCTCCGCAAAAACCGTTACCAAACGGCACTGTTTTTTATCTAACGAAAAATAATTTTAAGAGGAAAAATTCTGGCTTAAAGTTCCGGAATTTTTACTTTCTTCAAAGCCCAACCTACCTTTATTATAACAGATGAATGCATTTGAAACACTGCACAGGTCACGATACTCAATAAAAAGCAAAAAAGAACAAATATATGCTTGAAATAGACGAAGATAGTAACTTTCTCAAAAAACATTTTTCATCCAGAAGCAGCTCAAGTAAAACTATAGTTGTATGGCCACAATACGAGAATATGTAATATAGCTAATCGATCGAGAAACACAAATGAAATTTGTAAGTTGAAAAGTGAGGGCAAAACTTGCATAATTTTTGCGATATAATTACGGCTGACTGATCTACTTACGTTATGGGGTCTCTGAAGGATGACTCATCGGATTAATATAGTTGGTGTGTACAGCAATGCACGTTGAGATATATGTTACCTCAGCTAAATTTAATGAGAAGATTTTTAGATAATAAGATGGCCGATATTATTAGTTTTTGAATGCGATGATCAGAAATTTCGGCTGTATACAGAATTTTTTTATCGAAATTAAACCATCATAGGAGCTTTGGATTACCAACCAGCGGTCTTTCTGTTATCTTTTTTAGCCATTTACGATGGAGCCTTTTAACGGCCAAAGTATCTGTCAAGTGCTTGATCCACGCAGCTGTAAAAAGTGTCGAAGTGTCGATTATCATTTTTCACACCTTCGTCTCGTTTATTTTCCAAAAACGTTTCGTCTTTGTTAGGATGAGCTAATGAGATTTTCGTTTGTTGAAGAGAGTTTCACATGTCAAACGTTGAATAAGGTACCAGAAACTAACTTCTGAAAAGGTCAACTGAAAGTCCTTTTTTCTCTTCATCTCTAGTTGCCTGGGTAGATCTATTTTTCTCCTCTGAAAAGAGATTTCATTTTGACAACTTTGCAAAATAGGTCGAAAAGCTCCTCAAAATACTTGCTATACTTAAGAGGATTAGGGTGTGGCTATTTCTCACACCCTAGACATCACAAGGGGATATGTTCGTTCTTCCGAAAACGTTTCTGTACTACAGTACTAATCTGTGACTTTCATTGCGAAACTCTGTTTGATTGTTGACTGATGGAAAAACAACACTGGTTGACTTATATGTGTAGTGTAAAATGGAGAAGAAAAGATAGATTTTATATATTTTCTCTCTTATACAAACATCGAAGAGACGCTCTTTACATTCTATAATTGCTCCGTTTGTTCCGTTGCTACGCTTACTACTATTATAATTATGACGTCTTCGTTTAATAAAAAATGAACGGTCTATTAAAATAGGTCGTAGCTATAAATGAATAATTAATTACTAGATCAAACTAAATCATTGTCAACTAGTATTGATAGTCTCTCTACGTCTATCGCATCGTAAAACATAAATGTGATTAATTTGACAATATCGACACCAACACTATTTAGGGCTTTAGCGAATATTGAAACATCTTCCACCATAACAAACGCGTGATCTCAATGATCAACAGTACTTCCGTTGAAGTTCTCCAGTATGCTCTAATAGGGGATAGTACTTATAATACGTGACGTGTATTCAGAACAAATCACTTCGTCTCTTTTTCTTGTCGATTAAACACGTCTTTTCTTCTATTCGCTTGAATAACGGTTTCTAGAATTTCTCATTAGAAAATAGCTTTTTTCCGCAGTTTTTTAATAAATAAGAGGATAGAAAGTTACAAAAAAACCTGTTTTACAGATGTCGCAAAGAAAATGAAGTTACACACATTAGACATAGATTTCTGCTCTATTCGTTCTATATATAATCTGATACTGTGTTGCATATGCATAATAATACAGTCTAAAAGTAGCAAAAAAAGTGTTAGATCAAAAACACCTTTTTGAATCATAGCTGTTCCTTCAGTTCTTGCAACATTCTGTCCAAAAGTTGTAATCTTTCACCTAAGCGTTCTCAAGGTACGTTGCTACCAAAAACATACACTGTTTTTAAATAACAATGCGTTAATAGCTTAATTTTTGAGAGTGCTAAAGAAATTTTGTATTCAGAAATATTGCAGTCATTTTCTTGTCAGCAGAAATTTATCTGATTTTTTACTCAAACTTTCCTCGTTCTATGGTCTTTTTTTCGATAGTAGAAATTCCATTGTTTCCAATCTCTATTCAAAAGTGAACATTACTCATTTAAAATACGAATCGTATTTCCGTGTTATCATATTTCAGGCACGCAATGGCTTCTTTTATCGATCCGAAAACGATGACATTTGAACAGATTCGTGATCGTTATGCTTATCTTCAAAGAGTCACAACTGTATATGATATCAAGAGACAGCTAATGAAAAATAAACAAAGAATGGACGAATTTCTTGAATTTAGTTCAAAAATTGATAATGATGACTATCGAATGGTGGATGAAAGACTTTTGACAGTGGTCGATTCCACTAAAAATTCTAATCAAATTAGTTTACATTGTTTCCTTGCACAATTTGTAACTATTATTCAAGCTAAGCGATTTCTTTTGGTTTATAAGTCCGAAAATATTTTCTAGATTTTACCTTCATTTGTGTTCACATTAAAGATACAGCTGCATAATTAAGTGCTGTTTAGAATTTGTCTGATCAAAGAAAACTTCTGTTAAAATAGTAGTTTTCTGACTTGAATCGAAAAATCATTTCACTATTCTAAGTTAATGTAGGATAAGAATGAAATGAACTGCGCAGAGTTTATTACATGGTTTTTCGCCTATGTGTGGCTGCTTTTGTTGCAATAGTGGACTCATTTCATTTACTTTCGTCTGAATATATTGACCACAAGTTTTCATGCTTTACAAATAACGCATGAGGGTTTGTTGCATCACTACGACTCCTGTGGCGTTGCACACATCATCTTTTGAGCAGCGTTTGTGGCATAGTTTTATGTGTGAGTGATAATTGTAAATGAAAAGGTAAAATAAAAAATTTAGTTAAAGTCGCTGTTTAGAGCTGTAGTTAGTTCTCCATCTCGGCAGCATTTCCAGCAGAAGGACCTGACCTTTAAGACAGAAAGTTTTATCACAAGCAGTACAACACAAAATATTGGATGTGTGCTTTTTGATCTTGAAAAAGATCGATTCAATCTTATTAGACAAAAATTTCAAAAGCTTCAACCAAAAAAGTATTGGATTTGCTAGTTTGTACTCTGGATGATCTAATCATGGTAAAAATCTCCTCATGATATATATACAAATATACTTCTGTAGAAAAATAAGAGTTTGTTTCAGTTGATGTTCCTTCTTTCATTACACTCTCCACAAATATAGCATTGACTGCACTCACGAGGGAACGTTTCTAAGTGCCTCCTCGCTTTTTCAACAAA